CATCATGAAACCATTGCTACTACTCCCAACTCCCCCCAAATGTTGACAAATATCAATGTTTATCAATAAAAGACTTTGTAAATACTAAAGAATACCCTTGAAAATACTAAAGAATGAGAATGGGGAAGGAAATAAAAACAAACTATTAAGAGCTTATAAAAAACCCATAAGAAAATCACTTGTATTAAAATAGAACATACGGACAAAGAATCTGAACAATTAACATTTTAAAAGGTAATCTTAAATGGATAGGAAAGAAGAAAAAATTTAAAAACTTATTAAACGAAAAAAGTTAATTGTGGGCAATTTGATAATTTAAAAATTATACTATTCAAACAGGTGAGGTGCAGTGAGCCAGACCCATTCTGCATGTGAACTTGGAAATGGACAGCTGCTTGATAAAATGTCTCAGGAACCTGTGTCTTTGATGCAGAAATTCTCAACCTCTAGGAATTATTTCATAATGTCAATGAAATACCTTTGACATTTACTTAAGCATTGTTTTTTGTTTTTTGGTACCAGGGACTGAACCCAGGGGTACTTAACCACTGAGTCACATCCGCAGCCCTTTTTACTTTCTACTTTGAGACAAGTTCTCTCTGAGTGGCTTAGGACCTCACTAAATTGCTGGAGGCTGGCTTTGGACTCATGATCCTCCTGCGTCAGCCTTCTGAGTTCCTGGGATTATAGGTGTGACCCACCACACCTGGCTAGCATTGTTTTTAATAATGAAAACTTAAAGCCTCATAAGTGTCCAGCAATAGAGGAAGCTGTAAGAAAATTCTTTCTAAATTATTTTATAAGAAATTTAATGGAAATATTTTGCAACAAAAGGTAAATAAATCTATGATTTTTAATTGTGTATACATGTCCAAATCTCAGCCAAAAACTAACGGGAAACACGTCAAGAAATTCATATTATAATAGTATTTCTCTGAGTCGTTTGGGTTCTTTTCTTTGGGGTGTTCTCCATGATAAAAATGCATTGATTTAAAAAGAGAGCAAAATAAACATTATTTTAGATGGAAACATTTTACTTCTTAAAGTCTCAACAGTATAGACTTTTCCCTCATGGGAATCGACGCTGCTTTAAAGGGCTGAAAGTTTCACTCTATTGAAACTAGAAGTTTGAAAGCAGAAGCAAACTCTCCTCCACAGAGGTGAAGGGAAACACAAGGTCCTCCTCCCCTCTGAGGACCCATTCCTACTCCCCTTCGCTCCTCCTCTTGTAGTGTTCTTGGGCAGAGAAAGCCCACCCTCTGCTCAGGCCTTGGCTCAGTGCCCTCACTTCAAATCATGTAATTTTTTTTCCATTCACCTGATTCTTGGTAACTCTTGGGTTCCTTTCAAACTCCCTCAGCATTCACAGTTGTGTTCAAGCTGGTCACTAGATAGCAGCATGATTTGCCTCAGGCCAGAAAATGGTTTCCTAATTGGGAGTCCTGGGTTCCCACTTCCTGGCATCTGCCTGGGGCTCAGCCATGAGGGAAGAGCCAGTCACTGGGAACCACCAAAAAGTCCCTACTCCCCATCTCGTGTCATTGTCCCCCTGGGATATCTCTCCACTTCATGTCTCTTCCACTGACTTGGCCACAGTCATCTTGTCACCAGGCAACTCTAACAACTCCTCTAACTCCAGTCTAATCCTACCATCTAACTGGTGCCGTCTTTCTAAAATAAAATCTCATGACCCCTCGAAGCCCCTCAACCCCTACCATCTTGCCCATCACTACTACTCTTGAAACAGATACTAAAATCAGTAACTTACCTTTCCTAACCTCTTGGATATCACTAGCTTCCCCTCACTTATGTATGTATTTATTTACTCCATGAATTTTGATGGAGCATTTTCTAAGTGTCAGGCACCGCACTAGGTACAAGAGAGAGAGTCACGAAAGGTACACACCATGTAGTCAAGGAAGTCAGTCTTCACTGGAGTTGCTTTCTGTCCTGGCTCCTCAAGAGTGTGATTGTAGACTAGTAGCATCAGCATCACCTGGGAGCAGAATCTCACACCCTTCTTCAGACTCGCTACATAGACATTTGCATTTCTATGCCAGCCTCAGCAATTTAGTGAGGTCCTAAGCCACTGTGTAGGTCAAGTCTGAGAAGCATTGCTCTGCAACTCTGGAGCCCTCAGTCTCCTTCTCTCCCCTGCTGCCCTCTACAGATACATTTCATTAGCCAGGGATGTTTCTCGCCCTGTTCTTTGCCAACTCCCATCTTCCCTTTAGTTTCTGCAAGGATTTCATGTCTTCTAAGTGAGGGTTAAGGGACCCACCTATATGGTATCTCCATCGAAATATTTATGGCTCTGTGTTGTGGAGACTGCCACCACCCCTACAAATGCTGCAAGAGCAGACATTGCATCTCTTCTCAAACCTATATCTCTAGCAGCAAGGCCAGTATCTGATGTAGCTGGTCAATAAAAAGCTGTTGAAAGAAACAAGAGTCCAATGCAACTGTATAACTCCCAGGCTTAACAAATAATGTAAAATTTCTAAATTCCTCAGGAGAGGGTGGGACTTGGAGGGGGTTGGGGGACAGTGATCAGACTCCTAGAAAGAAATCATTTCCTTATTTTCATGTCTCATTTCCTCAATTTCTTGCCCAAGGCGTTATGTACAGGGTTAACCTATATGGAACCTCTGCTGGCACATTAGATGTCTCTGTGTAAATCACAGAGAGAAACTCCTTCCTACCATAGATGCAATTTCAGACCAGGGCATGTAGAAGACTCAGCAAGCAAATGACAAGCTGATTTCTTGTTGGCCCCTAGGCAGGGTGTAGCCTTTATAACTATATGTGGTGGCCTGCCTTGTGCCCACAATTAGACTGGGAAGAAAGGCCACAGAGTGAACACTAAACGTCAGGCCCTGGCACTACATGACCTCAGACGAAAAATTTAACTTTCACCATACCTACTTCACAGGGCTTAGAGAATCAATAATGTTAAAATAGGGTCAAGTCATACCTTACATAAAGTTTAATTTCTAAAATTAAAGGCTGTATTTTAAAAATGGGTATAACCATAATTACTCTTAAAACATCTTAATATCCATAGAGTCCTGTGCCCAGGTCAACGTGCCACTTTGGAGGTCGTCACTTACCAATCAATAAACCTACCACAACCTCCAGGGAGAGGAGAGATGTCGACTCTTCAGTAGACCATAAGTTGAACTAATTGGCTTGTGTGGATAGTTCATGAACTAGCTGGCTTACATAGAGAGTTCATGTCTATATGAAATACAGAACTTTCAATTTCACACTCATTTTCAGTACAGTAAGACACTCATCATACAGGTCCTTCAGCCCCAAGGACAGATGGAGTACGGAAGGTTTCCTTTTCCCATCTCTTACTCATACTCACCACAAGAAATGTCATGTAAAATCACTAATGCAATTTATTTTTTAAAATATTTATTTATTTTTTTAATTGTAGGTGAACACAATATCTTTACTTCATTTTTACATGGTGCTAAGGATCGAAGCTAGGGCCTCATGTGTGCTAGGCAAGCACTCTACCACTGAGCCACAACCCCAGCCCACTAATGCAATTTAAACTATGTTTCCCTCTCTCTTTTTGTGCCAAATACATATAGTTAGAATCTGGGCGAGTTATAGTTAGAATGCATAGTCTAATAAAGCTCAAGAACTCTCAAGTAAAATGTACATGCAAGGTATTCTTTATGTGATACACCTACCCAGTCAGTGTTCTGTGTCATGGAGAAAGTCCTACTGTCCAGTACATGGAGCTGCAGTGTAGAAAACCACCAGCTTACTCAGCTCAGGACACACGTGCAGACCACATCTGCCCATGAGAAGGCTGCTGCAAGGTGCTCCTGGTGAGAGCTGCTGCTTGAGCTGTGCTCACCCAAGGGGAAGGACGGGTATGGAGCTCCTCCCCATCTTTCCCCTCTTTCCCGTTATAGCTAAAAGTGGGACAGAAACAAGATCTACTGGCTGAGGGAGAAAGCTAGAGCAGAATGAAAGCTGTGGGAACAGCCCCCTTGAATTTATTGAAGGCCATGGTTCATTTTTCAGATCGATATCTGCACAGGCCACCAAGCAAACAATCCTCTCCGTTGCTCCAACAGTCTAGACAGAACAAAGGAGTCCCAGCTCCTTCCAGATAAAAGCAACATGTGCCCTTTGCTTTCCAGAGTGAAGAATCACTGAGACCTGAATATACCACCAAATAAACACCTATCCTTGTGCCCATCTGGGCCATTCTGGAATGTTCTACTGAATCAAAAACCTACTAGTCAACCCTACATATAAAAACAGGACTCTTCACAAACAAAATAGTGTTTTAAAACAGAAACAAAGCACTATTTAACATCTCTGAAGGCCTGCTAGGACCATGTGTTCATTTTCCATGCAAATTAACATAGCTAATCTCTCTTGACAAGAAATTTCTTAAGAGAAAAGCAAGTTTCATACTTGTAAGTGGCTATTGACCTAGAAATATCATTAACACACTTGATGGAAATAATAGTAACCAAAACACACACAAATAAATAATGGATTATTATTAATACCTATCTCCTAAGGCCATGAGAAGAACAAAATTTTATTCAGAAACTTGATTGGGCATCTAGTGAAGTTATTACTGCTCTACAGGCACTGTGGAAGACAGAAACAAAGATAAGTTGAACAGTTTCTGTCCTACCATGTCCCTCCCACTTTAAGAAGCTTAGTCGACAAGAGCCTTAAGCCAGCATCTCACCATAAGGAAACTCATAGGGAGAACACTAACTCTTGTCAGCAAAATAGATGAAGAAGTCTTAACAGGTTAATGACAAGAACTTCATCAAATGTTCCTGTGAGGAGAAGTGTAACTGATCAATCATATATTTATCCCAATATATACAATGGCTTCAAGTAATTGCATTCACTTGATGGGAAAGAAGAAAAACCAAGACAGCAACAGAGGAGAAGGAGAGATTTTGCTATTTCAAGCACATGAAGGTCTGATTGAGAATGGTTTGAATACTCACTGTTCTTCTTGTACATCAGAATTTCAAAGGAATTCATCTCATAGTTCTCAAAGGTTTGCCGCACCTTTTCAATTGTGTCTTTGTCAGTCAGCTCCCCATACATAAAACTGCAAATCAACCGAAGAGCTCAAGTTAGCAAATCAACAGATATTTATTATTCTATGAGCACATGTTAAATACCTGTTCTGTACCCCAGCTCTGTTCTAGGCACTGTGATGCACATGTGAATGCCAAAATATTTGTTGGATCAAAAAGACAGTGATTTAGACCAAGGAGAGGGATAGCTGGGTCAAATGGTGGTTCCATTCCCAATTTTCCAAGAAATCTCCATACTGCTTTCCATATTGGCTGCACCCATTTGCAGTCCCACTAGCAATGTATGAGTGTGCCTTTTCCCCCACATCCTCACCAACACTTATTGTTGTTTGTCTTCTTAATAGCTGCCATTCTGACTGGAGTGAGATGAAATCTTAGAGTGGTTTTGATTTGCATTTCTCTAATTGCTAGCAATGATGAACTTTTTTGTATATTTGTTGACTGATTGTATATCATGTTCTGAGAAGTGTCTGTTCAGGTCTTTGGCCCATTTATTTATTGGGTTATTATTTTTTATTTATTTATTTATTTTGGTGCTTACCTTTTTGAGCTCTTTATATACCTTATAGATTAGTGCTCTATCTGTTGTGTGAGGGTTAAAGATTTGCTCCCAAGATGTAAGGCTCTCTATTCACCTCACATATTGTTTCTCTTGCTGAGAGGAAACTTTTTAGTTTGAATCCATCCCCCATTTATTGATTCTTGATTTTAATTCTTACGCTATAGAAGTCTTATTAAGAAAGTTGGGGCCTAATCCCACATGATGGAGATTAGGGTCTACTTTTTCTTCTACTAGGCACAGGGTCTTTGGTTTTATTCCTAGGTCCTTGATCCATTTTGAGTTGAGTTTTGTGCATGGTGAGAGATAGGAGTTTAATTTCATTTTGTTACATATATAGGTCTCTGTTTTTAAGTTGTTCTCTTTACCTACATACCAGGAAAAGAGAATACTTTGTTAAACTGTCTTTTAAAAGAAGAATAGATCAACACTAAATTATCCCTACCTGAGAACAAGAGATTTTCTCTTTCTGAGTTAATTTTCTAGATATGTGACCATCATTTAAGTGAAATGATGGTTTATATGCTAGAAATTTCCTTCCCAAAGTAACATAAATCATTGTAAAATTGAGTCTTCATATAGATGAAGTGTTGTAATTACACCCAGTTTTTACTAGTCTTAGGTACTCTTTCAAGCAGGGTAGATGTAAGTTTCCCCTACCTGAACATTAGATTGCAAATATCTACAATATAGGAAATAAGCCAAAGAGGTTCCTGAGCTATTAGGAATATAGCTAGCACAGAGGTTTATTTATTCCTATAGAAGGGACCAGCCAGGTAATTAAATAAGTTGTTTTGAATTGTGCATAAAAGTTTGCTAAATTAGCAAGATATTTTATTTGATTTTTTTGAAAGTGTTTATACCCAATAAGAAGAAAGAAAGGTAAGGAAAAGCTGTTCAAGTTACACCAAAAAAAAAATGAAGGTAATCTTCTCAATTTATTGATTATATACATGAAGTACAGATGCAATGAAGATGAAGATACACAGATATATAGGTACTTAAGAAGAAACCATCACAGAAAGAATATAACAGCATTCTATTGCAGTTAGAGTCATAATTTCTAAACCTCTGAGCAGTAGGGAAAAAAATCTTAAATTTTCCATTGCTCAGTCATCACAGTATAAAATTTAAGAAAATTAAAATGTTTCCAAACATTTAATGTTTTCACCAAACTTGTTATTTGTCTGATTTAATACAGGAAAATGTAACCTCTGAGAACAGACAAGTATGTCTGACCAGGCAGGCTTTACCACCCTCCATAGATGATGAGTTTATTTCTTAATTTGGCAGGTTTGGAAAAATGATTCCACTTCATGCAAACACCGCTGATGAGAAAAGGCTGAAGAAGGAGAAGAAGAGGAGCCAGAGGCCATGCTGTACCAAGCAAGACCTTGCCAGGGCTCAGCAGAGGAATGTCTGGCAGGATCCAGGCTCCATGCCCAGCTCAACACCTTGAAATTGCTTTGGTAGTGCTCAAATACACAAGATTTGCTGTTAGCACAATTTGCTAAGAGCGATCTAACAGTACAAATTACAAAGGCACAAAATATTGGCTCTCTTCTCTTTTTCTGAAACAAAGAATTTGAGCTGAGGAAAAAAAAAACTCTATTAAAAAGGCTTTTGTCTCCAACATTATAAATTACTCTTCTCTAAAATGTTCATAAATTCTTAAATATTAATTCAATCATCTAAATTTTCTTTTCATTTTCATTTAATTTTATTTGATAGTCTTTCACATTTATTCAATATGAAACTTCATAAGCTTTTGAGTTCACATTTTTAATAGATAAAATGGTTTTTCTGAGCTTTTCTAAGTTTCTCCCCATCTTACTGAGTGATGGTAAATTTCTCAGTTGTAGGGACCATGCTGAACATATTCTTTGATTTTCCTAGCACATTCATGAATGAGAGAACATACTGCAATAAAAATTCCTCAATAAAAAAGGAATGAGGGCTGCTGGGGTTGTGGCTCAGTGGTAGAATGCTTGCCTAGCAAGTGTGAGGCACTGGGCTTGATCCTCAGCGTCACATAAAAATAAATAAAATAAAGATATTTTATTTATTTTAGTTGTAGATGTATACATCTACAACTAAAAAAATTAAAAAAAAAAACTAAATAAGGTGAAGGTAATTCCAAAATTGAGAAAACCATTTTCTCTTTCCAAAAGACACCATGATAGATTATTCACCAAAACAAAGCCCAAACATAAATACCTGCAGGTACTGCTTTTTTGCATCACTTCTGCCCTGTGGTAACCAGACAGCTTGCAAAATCCATCATTGCTGTACACGATAGGCCAGTCCACTATCTGGGCATTCCCCAACACAAAATTAGTATCTGTTAAAATAAAAGGAAAGAAAAAAAGAAAAGGGCACATGAGGCAAGATATTAGCTGAGATTCAGTAAGGATGTAAATAATGTCAACCAATCCAGGTATTTCTACTTCCCTTCAAAAAAAATAAGTCTCTTGAACAGTAATATGGCCTTATGATATGAAAGAACAATGCTTTAGAACTGATTCCTTGGGATGCAAATGCTAACTAAGATTACTGTAGTCCAGGAACAGCTTAGTAAAGGGAGCATACTTAACCAATCGACCAATGAGTCCTGCAGAAATCCAGCGGATTCCTATGATACATACTCAAGTCCTAATTTTTCATCCAAGTGAAAGCATACCAATAATATAGAGCAGAAGAAAATCCAAAAGTAATTTCTTCTGGGCTCTGTCCAGCATCTTAGCCCTGTCAGTCTCTTGGCCAAAAGGTACAAATTGGCTGTATTGACCATGACAAGCGTTTCCCCATTCTGAGAGGACCTTCTTAGGAGGCAGAGGAAGGATACTGAGCACTACCTCCAGGAACACACACACACACACTGTAAAGGAACCTCCCCCCTGTGGGGAAGTGTGTTCAGATCTCCCTCATGTGACCACTTTGTAGAGGGAGATCAAGATGCTCAAACCATAATTCCTTCTCACTGATTTTGAAATTTTGTGGTCATTAAGCTGGACATTGGTGCTTTTTCACAGAGCACCAGCCTGCCACTCACTTAGGATGGTAAAGTCCCAAGTTTTCAATTCTGCAAACATCATAATTATTTCAAAGTTACCATAATGTCATATTTGTTGCTCAATTTACGTTTTCATGGGTGTTCCACATGGTGTGGGTGATGGGACAATTAAGTAGGACAGACCTAGCTGGCAGGCTTTGTGTGTTCTCATTACTTCTGACATTTTTGAAGACCAAAAGTATTCAATTTTTTTTCTATTCTCAGAAAATCAACCATCCTTTTCAAGAATTTAAATTAAGCAAATAACACCTGAAACTTACTTGCAATCACTGTTTTAGCTTGGCTCCCCCCTCTCCACAGAATACCACCCACCTTCACCTCCCAAAAAGAAATATTACATACTCTTTTATGTTATAATTGGAGAGTGTACATATTGGTGTGTGTGTGTGTGTGTGTGTGTTTCACTATGTAGAGTAAAATAATGGTCCCTATCCAATTGAGAGGCCAATTTTTATATTTGTTCTTTTTTGATATGCATGACAGTAGAATGTATTTTGACATATATATATATATATATATGGAGTATAACTTCCCATTCTTGTGGTTGTACATGATGTGAAGTTACACTGGTCATGTATTCATAAATGAACATAGGAAAGTTATATCTGATTCATTCTGTCTTTCCTATTCCCATTCCCCCTCCCTTCCCTTCATTCACCTTTATCTAATCCCATGAACTTCTATTCTTCCCTTCCCCGCCTTATTGTGTGTTAGCATCTACATATCAGAGAGAACATTCAGCATTTGGTTTTGGGGGGTTTAGCTTATCTCACTTAGCCTAATAGTCTGCAGTTCTATCCATTTACTGGCAACATGTCATAATTCCATTCTTTTTATGGCTGACTAATATTCCATTGTGTATATATGTCACATTTTCTTTATCCATTCATCTGTTGAAGGGCACCTTGGTTGGTTGAATAGCTTAGCTATTGTGAAGTAAGCTGCTATAAACATCGCTGTAGCTGATTCACTGTAGTATGCTGATTTTAAATCCTTTGGGTATAAACCGAGGAGTGGAAGAGCTGGGTCAAATGGTGGTTCCATCCCACGTTTTCTGAGGAATCTCCATTCTGCTTTCCCTAGTGGTTGCACCAGTTTGCAATCCTACCAGCAATGTATGAGTGTACATTTTTCCCCACATCCTCGCTAACATTTATTGTTACTTGTATTCTTGATAATTTCCATTCTGACGGGAGTGAAATGAAATCTCAGTGTAGTTTTGATTTGCATTTCTCTAATTCCTAGACATGTTAAACATTTTTTCATATATTTGTTAACCGATCATATTTATTCTTATGTGAAATATCTGTTTCAGTTCCTTAGCCCATTTATTGATAGGGTTACTTGTAGTTTGGGGTGTTAAGTTTTTTGAGTTCTTTATATATTCTGGAGATTTGTTCTCTATCTGAGGTGCAGGTGGTACAGATTTTCTCCAATTCTGTAGGCTCTCTCTTCACATTCTCGATTGTTTGCTGTGAAGAAGCGTTTTAGTTTGATACCATCCCATTTATTGATTCTTGATTTTACTTCTTTTCTTTTGTGGGGGTGGGGAGCACCAGTGATTGAACTCTGGAGCACTTGACTACTGAGCCACATCCCCAGCCCTATTTTGTATTTTACTTAGAGACAGGGTCTCACTGAGTTGCTAAGTGCCTCAATTTTTGCTGAGGCTGGCTTTGAACTTGTGATCCTCCTGCCTCAGCCTCCTGAGTCACTGGGATTACAGGTGTGTACCACCCCACCCAGCTTGATTTCACTTCTTGTGCTTTAGGTTCCAAAGCAGACATAATGGATAGTTGAGTCTACTTTTTCTTCTAGTAGGTGCAGTGTCTCTCATCTAATGCCTACATCCTTGATCCACTTTGAGTTGACTTTTATGCAGGGTGATAGATGGGAGGTTAATTTTATTTTGTTATATATGGATTTCTAGTTCTCCCAGCACCACTTGTTGAAGAGGCTGTCTTTTCTCCAATGTATGTTTTTGGTGCCTTTGTTTAGTATGAGGTAACTCTATTTATGTGGATTTGTCTCTGTGTCTTCTATCTGTACCATTGGTCTTCATGCCTATTTTGGTGCCAATACTGAGCCATTTTGTTACTATAGCTCTGTAGCATAATTTAAGGTCTGGTATTATGATGGAGTGGCTAATTTTGTTCAAGGACAGCATTTATAATTTATTCACAATATGGGTAACCATCCCTGTCTATCTCGGGAGGTGACTATGTCTGGGTCAAACAGGCTTCTCCACCCTTCATAGATGAATTTATTTATTGATTAGTCAGGTTTTGAAAAATGATTACCCTTCACACAATCAGCACAGGAGACAGAAGACTTTTTTTCCTACTAGTGAAGAAGACAAAGAGAGGGGCCAAAAGGTCATATGAGCCAGGACCTTGCAGAGAAGGGACAGGGAGGAGAAGAAACTAAATACAGTGGTGCATTCTTGAGAGTAGTCCATTCTTGATCTATTTAAAAGGAACATAAAATACAACCTCAAGGAGTGAATCTGTAAACCTACTATTTTTATAGTACAACTTTAATGGAAATCTATAACCAGCCCTTTCGACTATCTGATCCATATATACATAAATACTTCTGGAGTACCCACTAGAAACCCAGTATACTGCAAGACCCTGGGTTTTTACAGATTGTTAAGACATGATCTCTGCACTCCAGGAACTTCACAGGACAAAAAGACATGTGCACATCTAACTAAAGAAACGGGTCAGAAAACAACTAACTCTGAGGGAGGCAAAGGACTTTTTATAAGAGCAGACAACATTTGAACTTGCTCTAGCCTCATAGGACAAGTAAGATTCATTCAAACATTTCAGATGAGAGCACAGGTAGGAAGATGGTGGGAGGTGAGCTTCTCCAGGCTGGGAAGAGTCTGGAACGTCAAAGCTTCCAGTTTATGATGGAGGCAGCAGAATCTTTATGTTGGTATTCTCTTCCAGAGTAACTCACATTCCCTGAAATGAACAACTAAGCCTTAAAAAGAAATACAAAATTCACCAAATGATCCCTGAGTGCAAATGAATTCTAGTCAGTTTAACCATCTTTTTTTTTTTTTTTGGACTCCTAGTATAGTGATTAAATTCCCTCAGAACACCTGCACATAGGAGGGGACACTGAGCGAACTTTTTCATGGCTAATTCTCCACTGATATTATCTATGTGTAAGAGGGAAAAACAGCCATTTACAAGTAACTGTTTGATCACAGGAAATACATATGTTCCCTCAGGAGATATAGATGTGGGTAGAAGCAATTGTTCTTCTCTGGGTTTTCCTGACTATCTTCTCCATGCTTTGTCTTTTCCTTCACTTGAAAACTATTCACCTTTGGCTTCCTAAAATGTTGTGTACTGACCTATTTCTAGATGTGTTCATTGTCTTTCTATCGTAGACCCCAGTAAAATAAAAGTAAATGGATTACAAAGATCTTTAAAAAACATAAAAATGAGAATATGATAAAATATGAGCCAACATAAATCACTGTGAAAGAAGCAGGAGTAACAGAGGAAAAAGAACTTGAAAAACCAACATCCCTAATTGGTCTCCTTGAGAGATTCCAGCAGTATTACATCCATTAAAAAAAAAAAAAGAGGATACAATGGGAGGGAAAGAGCCGTAACAGAATAAAGGGCTCTCATAAATTAAAAATAAGTAGAAATTTAAAATTCAACATAAATGTTAAAACCTAAAGTCTAACCAAAAGTAGGTCAGAAAGAGAAAGAGACAAGACATATAGGGAAAAAATAAGACCTAAAAATTTATTCAATATGATAAGCAAGAGGAACCCTAACATGAACAGCAAAAAGAGAGAAAGAAAGAGAGAGAGGGAAAAAATCCAGGAAATATTCTTTTAAATAAATTAAAACCACCAAATATAAAAGTAGAATATTTGCATATTTTCAGGTATGCAAATATTTGGAGAATTTATTTTCCACACATTCTTTCTTAGAAAGTTACTGGAGGATGTGTACCAGCAAAATGAGAAAGTGTTTTGTTTTGTTTTGTTTTTTCAAGAAATAATACAAACGGGAACTGGGGAAAAAGTGGTTTCAAATGTAAAAGTAGGGAAGGAAGATAATAGAAAGTATTTAATATACATTGTTCAGAGAAGAGAAGCTTCAAAAGAGAGTTATCGAGGCATAAAGTAGGCTAGTATATGATGATGCTCCTGATGATTTGGAACAATGTAAAAAGGCAATAATGGTGTGCATTTGGGGTGGACAGTGGGGTGGGGGTTGGCAATGAAAATATAT